TCTGGCAAATTTTTTTTTTCGAAAATTTTTTCCCAGTTTTAGAGAGTGTACCTCAGCATCCGCTGGACCAATCAAAAAGTGCCCCATATATTTTTTGTTCGAGACTTTTTGCTCAATTTTTTGGCATTATTCCCGAGTCATTATCTGGCAAATTATTTTTTTCGAAAATTTTTCCCCAGTTTTAGTGAGTGTAGCTCAGCATCCGCTGGACCAATCAAAAAGTGCGCCATACATTTTTTGTTCGAGACTTTTTGCTCAATTTTTTGGCATTATTCCCGAGTCATTATCTGGCAAATTATTTTTTTCGAAAATTTTTCCCCAGTTTTAGTGAGTGTAGCTCAGCATCCGCTGGACCAATCAAAAAGTGCGCCATACATTTTTTGTTCGAAACTTTTTCCCTATTTTTTTGGTGGTATTCCGGAGCGATTATGTCGAAAATTTAATTTTTCTAAATTTTTTCCAAATTTGTTTTCTAGTGTAGCTCAGCATCCGCTGGACCAATCAAAAAGTGGGCCATACATTTTTTATTCGCTACCTTTTGCTAAAGACTTTGGCATTATTCCCGAGTCATTATCTGGCAAATTTTTTTTTTCGAAAATTTTTTCCCAGTTTTAGAGAGTGTACCTCAGCATCCGCTGGACCAATCAAAAAGTGGGCCATACATTTTTTATTCGCTACTTTTTGCTAAAGACTTTGGCATTATTCCCGAGTCATTATCTGGCAAATTATTTTTTTCGAAAATTTTTCCCCAGTTTTAGTGAGTGTAGCTCAGCATCCGCTGGACCAATCAAAAAGTGCGCCATACATTTTTTGTTCGAAACTTTTTCCCTATTTTTTTGGTGGTATTCCGGAGCGATTATCTCTCAAATTTAATTTTTCTAAATTTTTTCCAAATTTGTTATCTAGTGTAGCTCAGCATCCGCTGGAGCAATCAAAAAGTGGGCCATACATTTTTTATTCGCTACTTTTTGCTAAAGACTTTGGCATTATTCCCGAGTCATTATCTGGCAAATTATTTTTTTCGAAAATTTTTCCCCAGTTTTAGTGAGTGTAGCTCAGCATCCGCTGGACCAATCAAAAAGTGCGCCATACATTTTTTGTTCGAATCTTTTTCCCTATTTTTTTGGTGGTATTCCGGAGCGATTATCTCGAAAATTTAATTTTTCTAAATTTTTTCCAAATTTGTTTTCTAGTGTAGCTCAGCATCCGCTGGACCAATCAAAAAGTGGGCCATACATTTTTTATTCGCTACCTTTTGCTAAAGACTTTGGCATTATTCCCGAGTCATTATCTGGCAAATTTTTTTTTTCGAAAATTTTTTCCCAGTTTTAGAGAGTGTACCTCAGCATCCGCTGGACCAATCAAAAAGTGGGCCATACATTTTTTATTCGCTACTTTTTGCTAAAGACTTTGGCATTATTCCCGAGTCATTATCTGGCAAATTTTTTTTTTCGAAAATTTTTTCCCAGTTTTAGAGAGTGTACCTCAGCATCCGCTGGACCAATCAAAAAGTGGGACATACATTTTTTATTCGCTACTTTTTGCTAAAGACTTTGGCATTATCCCCGAGTCATTATCTGGCAAATTTTTTTTTTCGAAAATTTTTTCCCAGTTTTAGAGAGTGTAGCTCAGCATCCGCTGGACCAATCAAAAAGTGCCCCATACATTTTTTGTTCGAGACTTTTTGCTCAATTTTTTGGCATTATTCCCAAGTCATTATCTGGCAAATTATTTTTTTCGAAAATTTTTCCCCAGTTTTAGTGAGTGTAGCTCAGCATCCGCTGGACCAATCAAAAAGTGGACCATACATTTTTTATTCGCTACTTTTTGCTAAAGACTTTGGCATTATTCCCGAGTCATTATCTGGCAAATTTTTTTTTTCGAAAATTTTTTCCCAGTTTTAGAGAGTGTACCTCAGCATCCGCTGGACCAATCAAAAAGTGCCCCATACATTTTTTGTTCGAGACTTTTTGCTCTATTTTTTGGCATTATTCCCGAGTCATTATCTGGCAAATTATTTTTTTCGAAAATTTTTCCCCAGTTTTAGTGAGTGTAGCTCAGCATCCGCTGGACCAATCAAAAAGTGCCCCATACATTTTTTGATCGAGACTTTTTGCTCAATTTTTTGGCATTATTCCCGAGTCATTATCTGGCAAATTATTTTTTTCGAAAATTTTTCCCCAGTTTTAGTGAGTGTAGCTCAGCATCCGCTGGACCAATCAAAAAGTGCGCCATACATTTTTTGTTCGAAACTTTTTCCCTATTTTTTTGGTGGTATTCCGGAGCGATTATCTCGCAAATTTAATTTTTCTAAATTTTTTCCAAATTTGTTATCTAGTGTAGCTCAGCATCCGCTGGACCAATCAAAAAGTGGGCCATACATTTTTTATTCGCTACTTTTTGCTAAAGACTTTGGCATTATTCCCGAGTCATTATCTGGCAAATTTTTTTTTTCGAAAATTTTTCCCCAGTTTTAGTGAGTGTAGCTCAGCATCCGCTGGACCAATCAAAAAGTGCGCCATACATTTTTTGTTCGAAACTTTTTCCCTACTTTTTTGGTGGTATTCCGGAGCGATTATCTCGCAAATTTAATTTTTCTAAATTTTTTCCAAATTTGTTATCTAGTGTAGCTCAGCATCCGCTGGACCAATCAAAAAGTGGGCCATACATTTTTTATTCGCTACTTTTTGCTAAAGACTTTGGCATTATTCCCGAGTCATTATCTGGCAAATTTTTTTTTTCGAAAATTTTTCCCCAGTTTTAGTGAGTGTAGCTCAGCATCCGCTGGACCAATCAAAAAGTGCCCCATACATTTTTTGTTCGAGACTTTTTGCTCAATTTTTTGGCATTATTCCCGAGTCATTATCTGGCAAATTATTTTTTTCGAAAATTTTTCCCCAGTTTTAGTGAGTGTAGCTCAGCATCCGCTGGACCAATCAAAAAGTGCCCCATACATTTTTTGTTCGAGACTTTTTGCTCAATTTTTTGGCATTATTTCCGAGTCATTATCTGGCAAATTTTTTTTTCGAAAATTTTTTCCCAGTTTTAGAGAGTGTATCTCAGCATCCGCTGGACCAATCAAAAAGTGGGCTATACATTTTTTATTCGCTACTTTTTGCTAAAGACTTTGGCATTATTCCCGAGTCATTATCTGGCAAATTATTTTTTTCGAAAATTTTTCCCCAGTTTTAGTGAGTGTAGCTCAGCATCCGCTGGACCAATCAAAAAGTGGGCCATACATTTTTTATTCGCTACTTTTTGCTAAAGACTTTGGCATTATTCCCGAGTCATTATCTGGCAAATTTTTGTTTTCGAAAATTTTTTCCCAGTTTTTGAGAGTGTAGCTCAGCATCTGCTGGACCAATCAAAATGTGCGCCATACATTTTCTGTATTAATATGTTACTCTTTTTTTTAAATAATTATATATTTGATTCTTATTTTTTCTACAATAAACTTTAATTTTTGTTTTTTTTTTAAATCAAATACTGGGTAATCGATGTGAAGTTTGGAATATTGAAGAAACTGGAACAAAGAGAGACAGAGACAAAAGCGATGATTGGAATGAAAGTATTTCAATTTAATGATCCATTAAAGATTTTAGTAATGAATTCTTGGGGATATTGCATCATTTCTCTGAGCGCATATATAGACATATCTCAGACACATGGAGATTTCTATATGTCGTGGCGGTAGGTCATAGAAAGTTCTATGGTCAATTGCGAATTCATGCAACGTATTGCTTTAAAACAAGTAGACCACGCCTCGATCCTTTCTCGTAATATTCTTTCTCTAAACGCGTAATATATTAAGTTTTAATGGAAGTGAAAACTGCTCTTATCGACTGGATTAGTCTATATGAAGAAGTTCTCTAATTTTTGTAGTTAATTAGTATTGTGTGAATAGTATTTAATTGCACAGAGAGAAATAGATGGTAAGAACTTATGATTTTAAGATGGTAAAAAGTAGATGTTATCTAGTACTATTATTATTCTACTCGGTACTATCAAAGATGTTACAAAATGTATGGTTATGTTACCCACTACAATCAAGATGTTACTCCATACAATCTGGATAGTAATTGATAGAATCCAAATTGCTGTCCGTATATGTAAGATCAAATATGGTACATGGTTGGCTAATAAAAAAATGTGTTTTTTAAAAAAATATTTTGTCATGATTTATGAATATTTTGTTTATCTACTGAAATTTTAGGTGAAAAATGTTTTTCTACGAAAAAAATATTATGTAACAAATGAATTATTATGTGTGTCTTATTATCAATTTAAAAAAATTACATTTGTTATAACGGTAAACTTTATGTTCGCTTTTCATGTCTCTATTCACCAACTATTTTAACTTTCACCACTTCATTCTCAAATCACTTATTTTCATTCAATAATCAGGTGTTGTTACCACACATATAACAGAGTTTGAGAACGTTTTTTAAATGATAAAAAAAAATTCAGAATTTCCAGTAGAATTTTCCAAAATAGTAAATGAATGAAAATCAACTTTGTATATAATAGATTTATTTATTAGTATTTTTTCATAATAATCAATGACTATATATTATTAAAAATATAAAAATCTCATACAACATAATTTCACTCTTTTTTCGAACACAACCAAGAATCTTTTGTATCAAAATTTTTTAAAAAGATTCGCTAACAATGTCAGTCAGCTATATGTATATATATATATATATTTTATATAAATATATAAAAAGTGGCGGGGAAAAATATCTTATTATTAACATTAAAAAAAGCAACAATTACTAAATAGTTAAAAACATAAAATCTAAACTTTAACTCATTTTGTGTAATCTATTGTTTTAGAAAATAATTTTTGGATCATCATCATATTATAGAAAAAAAAATTATAAATTGGATGACAAAATTCATATGACAAAGAATTCATATTGATTGAATATAATAATATAAGAAAAAAGTAGGAAAACAACAATTAAAAATATTGCATAATAAAAAAAACTTGGCACAAAAAAATTTCTAACTTTTATTTTACAAATTATATCTTTCATTATAATAGCATGATAGAAATTCTTTACATGATATGGAGATGTTTGCCAATTAATTTGGATTATCGGCTTTTTTTTAAAATCAATTATTGTTCTTTTTTTTAATAATCAAACAATTTTTCTATTATAAAAATAGGAGAAATAAATTTTTTTCGATATCCCATATCAAGTGCTATTTCTTGTGTAACTCGCCGTTTTGCAAAAGACCAAAAGTTGTAAAATTATTGGTCTTATAGACATATATCCAAGGTGCTTAGCCGCAAGAACTGTTCAAAGTGAAAGTGTAAGTAAATCGAACATTGATACGTGTATAAATATATATCTGTACATATAGTATCCGTAATCGGTAATCACACAAAGTGCAGGAGCGACTAAACAAGGAAATGAGAGAGGTTTTGGAGATGGCGTATAGAATGCGAAAATGCACCTTCATAAAGGAACAGATTCTTAATGATACAAGAATTTTTCCCTATATATATATACTATTGTGACAATGCGGAATCGACATTTTGCTACTTTACCTCTTCCACATTGTCTCCATGATTATGAAATTGTACATATATATAAATTGGATGGAGGAAATAATTATAGTTGAGCGCATGGTGAATTGTTTGCACAATGCAACATTGTGTGTAGCATGCGAATTTAGAAAAGAAAAAAAAAATTTTTAGCAAAGGAGAAATGGCTTTTTACGAATGATTATTTTTTTGTTATTGAGCAATTTTCTCAACTTTCTTTCCTTTGCGAATATATATATTTTATGACGTAAGCAAAAGTTATTCGCAATTTTGTCGACAAATCAATAAGTTTTTTTTTTTAATTTACATACTGTAAGCAAAATTAATTTCCAAATACTAACCAAATACGGAAAGAATGAGAAAAATTTGCTTAACTCTTGATTAATTTTTCTAAACGATTGTAGCGACTCCAGCGGAATTTCGATAACACATTGAACTTTTTGTGCCAATTCTCCTGGTCATTTCAGTTTATAAGCTCCAAATCTTTCTTAGAAGAAGCTACCTGTGTTTCGTAAAAAAACGGGAAAAAATCCACTTGCTCAATTTAGTCGCTATTTAGTAATAGCCAAAGCTAATATCGTGCAATGGTGGTGCAACATCTTGCGGTAGAGCATAATCACGAGCTAGTTGATCTAGAATTCCGCCAGGGGGATTGCTGCGAGCTTGTGGTTGTGCACGTTGTTCAGGAAGATGTGATGGTCCAAATTGAACTGGTCCCTGATTATAGGCCTGTGAACTTGGTGCCTGTTCATCATAAAGAGGTCGTTGTGCTGCCTGGAGAATTTGCGATTGACGTGGCGCTGCCGCTGGTGTAAAAATTGGCTGTTGCTTTGGCGCATTTGACAATGTTGGTGTACGTTGAGCTGGCGCATAAATTGCTTGAGTATGGGATTGAGGCTCATATTGTGGACGATATTGTTCACGTTGTTGAGCTGGTGCAGGAGCTGGTCGTGGTGGTGCTGCCGCTTGTTGACCTGCCTGTTGTCTATAATCATAATCTTGATATTGATTTTGTGCCTCGAGACCTTCGCGTCCAGTTGTTTCGTCAACCAATGTAGGTGGAGCAACTGTGATTCCCTCGCCAGCTGGCTGGAAGCCATATTGATTCGCGCCATATTCCACCACGCGGACCTTTCCTGAATCATCGACGAAACCATATTTTCCCTTTACATCGCCAGTTGGCAATTTGGTTTCAATTTTAAATGAACCGTCAGCGCCTTCAAAACCATAAGTGTAGGAACCATCTTCATTGTGACGATTGATTTGTTTTAAAATTGCAACTGGTGTTGGTTTTGGTTTTTCGGGCTCCTTTGGCGCTGAGGCATAACTCCTTGGTATTGGTTGTGCGTGTGCTTGTTCATTTCCATAGTCATTGACATAATTCTCCCTTTGCTGATCGTACTGACAAGACACCAAGGCAATTGTTGTTGCAATAATGACTATCGCCAACGGTGTCTGGAAACAAACAAGAACCAAATCGATCAAAAAATAATAAGTGGTATTTCAAAAATGTTAAGTATCAATGGATATTTTAGGATACCCTATGAACGTCCTAGGGATATCATTTGGTCCAGGGAAATTAGAATATCCCTAAGATAGCCATGGACATAGAAATGCTAAGCATATCCTATTTTTCCCGGACAAAATGATATTTCTAGAACGTCCGCAGGACATCCTATACATCCGGATGCTGTTAAAGTAGTTAATTAGGTTATTTTAAATATTTTAATTAATTTAATATCAAAATAGGATTAAAATTAAGTAATTAGCTAATAGTTATTAGTTAACTTTCACCTTTTTTTGAATGAAAATAATTTCTTATAAATTGACAATAGTTTGTTTTTTCACTTTTTTTTTAAGGGTTACAAAAGTTTTCCTATTAGTTATTAAATGTCAATCGATGGCAATGCTCCTTGCATCCTGTTTCGTATTATTTCGTTCACGATAAATTTTTTCCAAATCCTCGAACCAAAAATCACGAATACCTTGGATAATGATATAAAAGAAAAGCAACTTGATCACGTTCAAGGATAGTGAAGTCGGTGAGAGAAAGGTGCGCAAGGACGTTGCAAATGAGTCTGAACGACAGCAACAAATGTAAGATAATATTTTTCCAATTAATCCGATATGAATATTTAGAATCATATTTCAAACAATGAATTTAATATCAAAGAGTAAAAAAATTTAAATACTATAGAATGTAAAATAAAAAAAAAAAATTAACCAATTTTGACAGTTTTGAGTTTCATTTGTTTTTGATTTCTTCGAGGGATTTTGTACATAAATTATTAATTTCTAAAATGTTTTTATTATTTAAGAAAAATTTCATTTTTAGGAAAATTAATTAAATTTAATTAATCTAATTAGTAATAAATTTTTTGTATACATGTTCAATACACCATGAATTTTGTAAGGAAACTTTCAATTTTACATGATTTATGCAGTAGGAACTGTGTCTATTAATAAATAATATTAGAATGCTTCCGAATGTTGAAATTATACTGCCACCAAACAGCTCTCAAGTTTCGAAAGTTTTAAATAATAATGTAAGTTTCGTTAAAATTTTAATAAAACATAATTGAAATTTGTCATTAATATTATTATTTTATTATTATTATCATTTTTATTATTATTAGTAGTAACTAATATTTATTGCACAAAATTGAACTTGATTAACTATTATAAATTATTAGTGAAATTTAATTTCTAGTAGCTGATTTAATTTAATTTACATATAAATTCTTGTATAAATGAAAACAACTTTTGAAATGTTATATAGCAAAATTTGTTTCTAGAATTGACATTTATATATATATGTATAAAATAAAGTAAAAAAAAGTGGCTATTATCACACACGTATACTGCATTTCCTGTTCTAATGACTTAATACATTCTAAAGGATTAACTAAGCGTAACAAAATATGCGCATGAATATTTTAAATGATCGGGCGCCTTCCGCGTGTATGTTAACCAGTTCTCACTTTATCTTGAACCATAAGAGTAATATTATATATATATTTACTTTGTATAATATATGTCGCAGTAATTATAATTAATTTTATAATAAGATTACATATTTTATATAGTGGAAAGAGAAATTATAGTATTTTTTTGTTTGTTTTTTAATTGGATCCGATTAACACTGATTGGAAATTTTTATTTTATTTGCACAAAAAATAAAATTATTTTTAGTTACATAAAGAAAACTTTGCCAGACATTTAAAACTCTCTAAATCTGAATTAGTAAAAATGTTTACTAATTTGGATTAGTGACTCACTTTTTGCTTCTGAATTAGTAAAATTTTACTAATTCTAAAGCAAAAAGTGAGTCACTAATACAAATAAGTAAACATTTTTACTAATTCAGATTTAGAGAGAACATCTGAATTATGATTTAAATAAGGGATGTTTTTAAATATAAGAATATTTTTTATTTAACAAAGAATTTTAATTACTCAATTAAAATAGCAAAATTGATTAAGAAATTTTTCTATTTTCAAAGTAATATTAAATACTAAAATTTTAAATGTCATTTTATAAATTAATATATCTAAAAAGACAAATTTTACCAAAAAAAATGTTTCTAAAACTTTCTTTAATAAAAAAAAGGGCAAAAATAATAATTAAAAAAAGAAAGGAAAAAAACACTTTTTTCAAACACATGAAGTTTCACATTTCTAAAAACTTTTTTGCACGAAACTTTCCAAGATGAATTGTAGTCATTATATCCAAAACTGCGCCGAGTAAATTAAGATTTTTTTTTTCAAAAATAAAATAAATGAAACTTAAATTATATTTTTAGCACACCACTTTTCACAATAAGTCACGCACTTTTTTTTCTTAAGTATAATATATTAAGGATTTTAAATGCACCACAGGTGGGAAACACAAATTTATATTTTGTATGGAAATAAATAGTAAGAGAAAAAAAAAACTCATTTAAAAATCCGGTACATACCATAAAGTAGTTGCGCATTGTGAATTTGATGTTTATATTGTCAATTTAAGGGGATGCTTTAGTAAAAAAAAAAAATTTTTTTCACACAGATGCGTACGCGCGAGCGCACGTGATCGTATACGTGTGTGCGTGAGTGCACGCGCTCGCGTGTGTTTAGAATTACGTATATTGTTGTTTTTTCAGTATGTAAGTAGACAGCGAGGCTAGAGTACCAACAGAATCTCGAATCGAGGGCCTCATATACCTTAGGAGGCCCCCTCCTTATTCTACCGGTGGTACCCCCTTTACTTTATTTCTTGGGGACTTTCACTAAGCCACTCGATTTAGTTACATGTGTGGTCGATATTTTCAAATAAATTTTATTTTCGTCTCTCTCTCTCTTTCTCTAAATATATTTCATCTTTATTTAATATACACTCGACCTATTTTTAATTTTCCCAAAACATTCAAGTCTTATATAATAAAATCAATCCTTTTGATAGCCAAAAAAAAGTCAAAAAAATTCTAAATTATTTACCATTTTCTACAAAAATTAAAATACTTATGTACTCTTATTTTGAGAGGATAACGATAACGATTTTATATGAAAAAAAACTCATAAGAGGAAAAATCCAAAATTTTTTCCTTTTTGTAAATTCAAATAAGAGTATTTTTATTTTGAGAGGATAATGAAAAGAAAAAAAAATTTATTTTCGTTGCGTGAAGTGAAATGAAATATATTTCAAAATGAGAGCAAATACCAAAGCCATTGATTCACAACGCTAATGATGTGGAATCACCATGATTAAATCATGCAGAATGACTTTATAATGAAAATAGATTTGGGCAGCTTGAATCATAGTTTGCATCATTTTTATATAAGAAATTAATGTACCTTTTTAATTTTTTTAATCCACATTAGAAAAATGACCTATTAAAAAAACTTCTAAAATTAGAAAAAGTAATATAATTATTTATACAAATATTTTTGAATTTCAAAAAATTTTAATCCTATAATTGAAAATACCCTAAATCTTTCTAATATCATTTTACTATAATGGTGTTAAAATTTCATTTTTTTAATGAACCATATTTCCTTTTAGATAACACGTTATGCAGATTTTTGTCTGTATATTATTTTTAATTTATTGACAAATTTTATGGTTTCACTCTCTCGTTTTCATATCCGAGAGGCGATTACAATTTTACTTCGTTTCGGTATTTCGTCATGCTTGTCGCGTAAGTGCAGATTAAGAGCCACTAAAGTTTCAAGGTCCTTAAGGTGCGTATAAATATATATATATATGTATATTGCTTTCAAATCAGCTTTATAATATAATTTCACTTGCAACCTATCATCTATACAATTTCCAGTGATTCAGATCAAAGGACCTTTATATCCCCTCAGGGTGATCTTGTTATTCAGAATTTTACATCATTTTTGCTTGCTTCCATAAAATCATTAATAATTTTTAGGCATATATATATATATATATTTCAAAATTTCATGTTACATATATGTCCAAAGTGACTATCTCAACAAATAATCGTTTATATAAATTAAATGCTTTTTCTATCTAATAAATCAAATTATATAAAGCCTCCCACATTTTCATAACTTAAATATACACGAAATATTTTTTTAGTATATCTCTTACGGCTTAAACAAATTTGAAAACATTTACAGATGAAAATCTTAAGAATTCTCTTTTATATAGATTAAAAATATATTTTACATTTAGTAATTAGAAAAATTTTGACGTGACAACGTCTTACTCCGAGGTCTATTGAGCCAGTCAGAAAAATTGGCATTCATATCATCGTCGATTTCTCGAAAAAAAATTTTAAGTATTCGGTGCGTATTCCTTTTTTTTTGCCTCAAGACTGAAAATTTTTCGGTGCGCATTGCTTTTTATTTTTTGCCTCAACACTTCGAAAAATTTTTAGTGATATGATTTTAATTTCTTTTTTTTTCTATATTCAAATTCCTTTTTAAAATTCATTTAAAGTATATAATTGGAAATGAAAATGAGCCAAGTCGATATTCTTCAATGTCAAAAGTAGTGCTTGGCATAGAATTACGACGGACATTTAGAAAGAAAGTATTATAAACGTGTCGTTGAACTCTTTCGATTCTTTATATATATATATACATGCTAACAAGCCTTTATCCAAAGCAACCTTATATATGACTTTTTCTAACTTCAAAGCAAGAATTGTTACACTGTTAAATAATCTTTATATAATTCATAGCGTGGTAACTGGTCGAAAATTTTTTAATCAATACGTCTAGAAAGAAACTCGATCGAAACAGGACTCTCTCGCGACTATGTACCAGATTCCAAGAAAATGCGGAAACCATATTGCGCGATAATAATAATAATAATAATAATAATATAATTCTGACTGGCTGTATGCATAATTTAATATAGAAGTTTGCAACTGTATATAATATTTATTTTATTAATACCTGTGCAGAAATTTTGAACGGGTCCAACTTTAAATCCGCACGAAACACTCAATCTGGTTGGGATCACTGAAAAAGAGTCCTATTTTGATTAAAATCGAGTAAAATAGGCCCCGACTAAGCGCTGGTGTGTCTCTGACAGGGCCCACATGATGAAGCTCTATTTTGATTAAAATCGGACCCCGACAAGGTACTGGTGTGGCCCCTATCAAGTTGCAGCTCAGATACAGTTTAGAATTATACAATCTAATTGCGAGCAAAGTTAATATAATGAAAAGTAAAAGCACTTTAATTTCTCTGAGCGAGAAAAAGAAACTATATATATACAATGCCAAGATTCAAGAACACGGTTATTTAAAACTCCTAATAATTAGTTCTAGACACTTGTTTTTTTATATTACAAAAGAGTTATTGGATAACTTAATTTTTTTAGTGATCAATTCTTCTAGAAAATATCTTCTGTTCAAAAATTTACGTGATTTTGGGCGTGGGATTGTTTTTTATGCTCCAGCGCGGATGCTATGAATCCCTTAATTCCATTAAGAATAAAAACAGGAAAAAAATGGTAATCAATTCTTATTAATAATGATAATAATTTGCACTTTAAAAGTACAAAATTTATTTATAAATACAGTAATTTCTCACAGACGAAATGTTAAAAGCATATATATATATATACAACCAATAAGGAAAAACAGAGTGCAAATACATCAGGGTCGTTTAAGGTGAACATGCAGGATGCATATATTACTGAGATATACGTTAGTTTTATATATATGTATATACAAATAGTGAAAAGGTATGCAAGGTCTGCGGTCAGCGGTCATACCTTTCGCTTTACTTTGGAAATCTACACATTGGCTCCAAACACACCAGCCCTGACATTTACTTAAATATATAATAACATCTTTCTGCAATAATTTGCTCTTCATTTTTCAAAATCCTTGTGGGCGCCAAAAATTTCGATTAAAAATTTTATTTTTTATGGTGAAAAAAAAAAATTAGGAGATTAAAAGAAAACTTAACGCACAAGATTTTATAAATCATATTAATTAAAATAATTTTATTAAAAAATTCTAATTTGTAAATATAGCTTATGTATATTTTTAAGGGTCTAAATTGGAATCCGTATAAGATTTAAATAAATAAATAAATAATGTAAAAAAAAAAAAACACAGTTTGCATGAAGCGTAAATATTTAGATCAGCATGAAATATATATATATATACTTCCTTTAATTTCTAGAATTACGCAAAACGAGAGCGTGAGTTTAAAATTGAAACTAGATGGAATGTATGGCAGGATCGACAAGTCGAACTTTTTCCAGTTGATGAAAAACAAGAATTGCGTGCGTAGTGCGATATCCCTTGTTCAAACATTATCTATAAGAGAATGCATTGCGCTTTTCATGAAGAAAGTTTATTTTGTTATACAATATTTTGCAAACATTTTTATAGAATAATAATAGTAATAATAATAACAAACACAACAATATTAATAATTATTATTACAACGATAAACTGTTCAAAATGAGAATGAATGAAAAAAAAATTGAAAAACAACTAAGGCTAAGAAAAAAAATTTTTTTAAAAAATAATTATGCAGGATGTAAGAATTGCAAAAGACTTTTATATTATTATTGTAACACTATATCCAGATTTATGTTCCTTTATCATTTAGATGCTAATGTACTTTAATGCGGTTACACAGATATAATTGAAAGTGACAAGAACAATGGGTTCAACTTGAAAAGGGTGTGGCTATAAAGTACAATTCGTAGTGTAAGTCAATTTGTAATTTTTTTTTTGTAGCTTCTATATATAACAGGTATTCATCTCCTGCAATAATCTATACGCAAATACTAAAAAAATTACAAAATTTTTACTTACTCTCAAAATCGGAATTAGAGAAAGAAAGAAATTTTTATGAAAAAAAAATTATACAAGTAAAAATAAAATGCCATCATTCAAAGTAAAAGATTTTTTTTATTCATTTCGTTGAATACATGATGAGGTAGTACAGTCTTAAGAAAAGTGTGCAAGACATACTTTTTCTACTCACAGTTGAAAAATTTGAAAGTAATTAACTTCAGCTATTACTTTTAGCGCATATTTATAAAACTATATGTATTAAAAAAAATAACTATAATTGTTGAAAAAAATTACAATATAAAAATACAAAAAAAGAATGTCACATTTTAGGCCCTCTCCCCCTTGTCCTTAAAATGTGTGACATATTTACAATTCCAAATGATAAAAAAATATTTTCACTACAATGGAAATTAATATCTATATTTCAGTAAAATGAATTATTATTCAAAAATTTTAGAATTCATTTTATATTTTTTTTATAAATAATTACGAGAATTATTTTTAACCAACGAAAAAGAAAGGTGAAATATTTTTTGGTACATAACAATAAAATTATTAATAATAATAATAATAATAATAATTGAAATATAGAAATTCTACCGTTTATAATGTACAGAATATGAACCAAGATTTGTTGTTGATGGACCCTCGTTTCTTCTTTGAACTATCGACTGTGGTTGCGCTACCGACTGTGCAGATTCTTCATATTGGTACTGAGGTCGCTGATATGGATTTCTATATTGCGGTCGATATTCAGGTTGTGAATTTACTGAAATTGTTGGTTGTTGGTACGCAGCAGCAACAGATTTACTGCAATCAAAATAACACGACCTACAGAGTTAATTCCTCGATTCAATGTTTCCCACGATTCACTATAAACATATATAGATACATATAATATACTTTCAAGCAAGATTCACTTGACATTTGATTCCCTTCGTGTACCCTATGATCTCGTACAGTCTCATTCACAAATCTGTTTTCGTAACGAAGGTGAGAAAATGATGAGACTGACATATATATATATATATATATATATAAATAGAAATTATAAAGTACTCTGCATTCAAAGCAATTTTAATAAAAAGAAATTAATTTTCTTTTTAAATAGTAGAAAAGGAAAATTATTTTTTAGATGGTACGCAAAAGTAATTTTTATAGTTTTGTGGCCCAGGGCCGAAAGCCTTATAGTTTCGCTTTGGCGTCCATCTGTCCGTCCGTCATACACTCGTACGGTTACCATAGCAACCGTTTCGATGACAGCTATTGCCATAGCAACAGTTACTATGACAACAGTTACTATGGCAACAGTTACTATGGCAACAGTTACTATGGCAACAGTTACTATGGCAACAGTTACTATGGCAACAGTTACTATGGCAACAGTTACTATGGCAACAGTTACTATGGCAACAGTTACTATGGCAACAGTTACGTTGGCAAACTATTTTTTATTATATACAAACTAATTTTTGACCTGAATTTTAAGACACAAAACCCCCGCTTTGCGCCTACTGATTTTTTAAAAATAATTACGGGGACAAAAAAAAAGTAGAAAACTATAATTGAAAGAAAGAGATGAATTAAGAGGTGAAGATAAAATTATAGCAAAATGATTTGCAAGAGATAATATAAAAGAGAAAAAAACAAATAGCAAAACGTGAACTGTGCCTTGTAAAAGCAGGAAACAAGTTGTAAACGTTTTTCATTAAAGAGCAAATTCAATTGTAAATACCAATTTACATACTCTAGACTGCTGCATAAACTATTATTCTTCTTCTAATAGGCAATTAGTGTTTAAAAGAACATAATATAATTGTTAAGATAATACTTTTGTTAATAAACGGAATAACACACCTTATACTATAAATATTATTTTGTAACAGTGTTATTTTTAATTTTTAATGAAAATTGCTTCATTTTTTACATATAAAATTTGAATATTTCTGTAAAAAAAAGCACAAATTAATACCAATAAATAAAAAACTATCTTATCTTTGAGAAATTTATGACCTAGATAACTGAAATTTGGGTATTTTTTCATAGTATTTTTATGTTATATTTATTTTTGAAAAAGATTATAATTGATTACCTAACAGGTGATGGTTGATAGGCAATTTGCTGTTGATATGCAGGATGCTGATAATTTTGTTGTGGTTGATAACCAAGAGGCTGTTGTGGTTTTTGCAATGGTTGTGATTGATAAGCAAGTGGTCGTTGATTATGCGATAATTGTTGTCTGTAAGCATTCTTAGGCACTGGATCATAACGTTCGCCATTGGTATATCTTGGATCTGTGTAATAAATCGATGGATCCTCACGATATTGTCCATCATCTTCAGGTTCATTCGAATTGATACTATTTCCAGTTACTGGCGGTGGTACATTGATACCAGTTCCAGCCGGTTCAAATCCACCTGAACGTGTTGCTCCATATTCCACTTCCCTCACACTTCCCGTATCGTCAATGAAACCATATTTTCCAAAAACCTCGCCATTTGGATGTTTCGATTCAATCTTATAGGAACCATCAGCTGCTTCATAACCGTAACTGTAACTTCCGTCTTCATTGTGTCTGAAATTTAAATACTGTAATTATTCTTCTCTAAACAAGAAAGAAAATGAGGAACTAGAAAATTTCAGTTTTTTTTCTCTTCCTTAGAATTTTGAAGAAAAAAAACTTAGAAATTTTCTTTTTTTTAGATAATTTACCTGTTAATTTGTTTTAGAATAGGAACCGGCGTTGTGCTCGTGTCATATTGAGCTAATCCGAATCCAATTCGAAATACCAGAAGCACCACCTGAAAATAAATATTAAAAAAATGTACAAGCTATACAGTACGACAAAACCTATTGTTGAACATTCACAATGTCTTTGCTTTCTAAACGGCTTACGTAAAAACAGGTCCAAAGTGATCTGAATGCGATTAAAATAAAGTCGTTGTATTTTTGACGCGTGACTACTTCGACAATTATCCGCAAGAAACCGCAAAATCAAATCGTTTTAACACACACAATCTTTTTTTTCAAATTCTTCTATTATTATTATTCAAGACTAGAAATTTTTAACATTGAGAAATAATAAAAAATTGTAACTGAAATCTTTTGCCTATAAAAAAAAGTATTGGAAAAAAATGTTTACTAAATAAGAATTTACTGTAATATATAAATAAATTTATAAAAATATAATAAAATAAATAAATGTTGTAATGAAAATGTTCAATTGTCTTATCTATTCTTTTTATATCTATTTTATAAAAAAATAGTGTCGCAGAGGAATTTTCAATAACGTGAACCGGATTTGCTTCTTAATACATATTTACATATATTATTACGGTGATTTATCGATCGACACGCCTTACATGTCAAAGATCAAAACATTTCAATGATACAATTGAAGTTTTACACCTGTTAATCAAATAAAAAAAATCTCAAATTGAGAATTTACTTATTTTATTTGCAATGTAAATTTATTTTTCACTTTTAGTAAATTTTACTAAAATTCAATTAAAAGTACAATTTTTTATTTTAGTAAAATAAAATTTATTTATTAAAAATTCATTTTATTTATTAGTGAAATGTAAAAGTAATTATTTTTTGTTTTAAAACGGAAGTGAATTTATACATCTCTTCATTGATTGTTACATGATGTTCAACAAATGAACAAACACGCGTTGCAAAGTTTACAGTTGCCAATGAACTCGTAAAAGAAACACAATTATATTTCCAAGATATGGCATCTCGCGTGGGTTTAATATATATAAGATGCGATAATCGTAGGAAGTGATTATGGGTTTATGATTCACATATGTAATTTATACAAAAGTAAACATATTTCACATTTTTAAAAATTTTTTTGCAAAAATAGTTTTTTTTAAAAAAAATTATTATTTTTAAATCATTAATATTATCATTATTTTCACTGTCATAATTATTTATTAAAACAATTGAGAACTAGTCATTAATTATTGTTATACTTTTTAATTATTATACAAAAAATAAAATTTATTTTTTAATAAAATAAAAAAATAAAAAAATAATAGATACATAAAAAAAATAATAAAATAAATTAATTAAAATTGTTTTTATTATATTTGTTTATTTATTTTTAATAATTTTCATTTTGATGAGGAAAATAATTTTTTTTTTTGCATTTTCGGAGCACAAATAATTTCACTGTTTTTTTTTTTTTTTTTTTTTTTTTTTTTTTTTTGTATTTGTGACACTCGCGAACTCGCGCAAGAGAAGGTGAGTTTTGACCCGCATGGAAAAAGTCACAATATACTCACGGGAAGACGCATCGTTGCCCTCGCGTCGAAGAGGCGATGGTGATTGTATTTATAAAGATCGCCTTATGCGGCTCTGCAGGTCTACTTATATAGGTCCCCTTCGGGAGCGGCTGGGTCCGCCCATGGGCCCGACCACCATACCTCTTCAGTTCAACCTCGACACAATGTTTAATACCCAACTAAGGACTTTATAATTTTTTTATTTTTTTAAAGATTTTTTAACAAACATTTAATTTTGCAAAAAAAAAATCAGTTATTTTTCATCGATTATAACTTCCAAATTTCTGACAAATTGTCATCATTATCATCAATTATTTTTCCATCTTGAAATTTTCATCATTTTTATATTTTTTATTTATTTACTCAAATTTACGGACTTGAAAAATATAAAAAGGCCCTTTCATACGAAGTACTGTAATAAAAAAAAAAAGTTGTTAATTACAGCAATAATCAGTAAAAAATATTTTTATAAAAAAAATTACTGCTGCTATTATTAAAAAAAATTTCGTTCTCAGGTGTCTGTCTGTTTGTCTTTAAATTAAATAAAAAAAAAACAAAAAATTTAATATAAATATTTTATAATAATAAATACAGTGTTTATAGATAGGCATTGAAAATATTATTCTAGAGAAATAAATGAATGGAAACAGTAAATACTAAATGATACTGAACATTATTATGGTGTTGAGAAAACTTCTAAGTATGTACATTTATATATAAATTAATTGAGATATTCGTTATCAATTAATCATTGAAAGGTTATCATTTCTATAATGTCAAATAATTTTTCACATTAATTTGGAACTTATTCTTTCTAAACAAAAAAAAAGAAGGAAGAAAAAAAAGATTTTTAATACAAAAATTAAATTATCTATATGGTATAAAAAGGAAAATTAAATTTTTTGAGTCTAAGATTATAATAAAATATAATATATTTAAATAAAATAAAAAGAAAGTTATATATATCGAGATCCCCTGATGTAACAATTTTAGAGAGTGTTTTTTATATCAACATGCTCTTTTAAAAATGCAACTAGTTCGTCGAAACAGGTGAAATTGTATTTAAATTAAAGCATAAAAAATTATCTAATAAAAACTTCTATTTAAATTATTTCAAGTTCATTATAAATTCGATTGAAAGAATTTTTAGAACCTTGCGCATTATTTATATAAATAATTTAGTTTTTCAATTTATAAAAAAGTATTTTTAAATTAAACAAAATAATTATCAACTTTCTGTGGAATTAATTTTTTATTCAATTTTGAATCATTATAATTATTTTAAATATAATGTAATGAACAAAAAAAATGAAATATACGTTTTTTATAAGATGAATATTTCGATTAAAAAAAAGGCGATACACTTATTGAATTAGTGTGGAAATTATTCAAAATTTTGAAATAACTGATGCATTTCAAACGAACAAGTAGAAAAGGAAAGTTCAGTCAGACACTGTTACATAAAATAAATAATATAAAAGAAATGCTTCTATAAACAAAGAAAAAAAATTATAGTGTTGTTTTAATAAGAATTTACTGACACTAAAATTATGTATTACATTTTATATCGCAAAAAACAATCTTCATTATTATTACTCAATTAGAAATATGTTAAATTTTATATTCTGCAATAAAAATTGACGCTTGTATATAAAACGAAATACTTTGACATTTTGAATTTTTGTCGTTAAATGCATATTACAAACAATTTAAAAAAACAACAACAAAATAATTGAAATTCTTTAAATTTTTATTTAATTCCTAAAATTAAAAAGGTAACTATAATTTAACCCTTTTTTTATTTAATTTTTTTATGTTCAAAACTTTTGATAAATAAAAAAAGAAATTAAAATATAATCATTTAATTAAAATAGATTTTTTTTTAAATTTCCATAATAACATTATAAAATATTTTCATGTTTTCTATATTATCGACTACTGTTTCCTCTCTGCAGGTGACTAATAACACAACAAAACTGTTCTCCTTCTTGCCAAAAGATGTCGGATAATCATAAAACTTATTTATATTTGTTTTTTTAAATAAATTAATTTTTTCTTTAAAAAAAAACTAAAGAATTTAACTTAATTTATTGCAGTTAGAGTTTTTTTTCAAATGACTCAATCAGTGACATCATGATGTTTCGTCGCATGTTCTAAAATTTAAAATAAATTTAAAAAATAGACAAAAAAAGTAAACTAAATATTCTAATATGAACTAGAATTTCCACCAAAAATTTAATCATTTTTTGTTTTTTGTAAAAATAAAAGGAGAGCAAAAAAAGTATTTCAAACAGGATTAATAAAATAATCTACATTTTGTAAACAGAAGAGCAATGTGACCTTTCCTTATTCGTCACATGAATTTTTAAAAAAAGTAGTCCAATTTTGACGTCAGTTTTTATTAAAATTGTGTTGATATTAAAATTAGAATTTTGATTTAAATTTTTACCACTTTATTAGTTATTCAATTCCACTTAACTGAATATTTTTCTGAGTTGTGTGTATATAATTAAACATTAACAATGAATAATAATAATAAAAATATAAAAAAAATCAATATACAATATAATTTTATTTATAAAATATTTATTATATAAATGTGAATGTTGGTAATTTTTAATTTAAGTAATTTCCATTTTTATACCTTTATATATATATATATATATATATATATATATATATATATATATATATATATATATATATATATATAGCAATTGAAAAATCAGATGAAAAGATTTTTGACCAATATGGATATTATCATTTTACAGCTTTTATAGAATTAATTAATTGATATTTCTCATGACCTCATTTAAATAACAATCCAACTCAGTTACCTTGAAAGGTTTCTTCATTTGATATAAGATATATATAAATATTATAAAATTTATCCTATTCAAGAGCTTCGAACTTTTTGTTTCTATTGATTTTCAAAAATTGAAAAGTTTTTATATTTTTGAAATAAACGTGTTGGATTTTATTCGATTTGCAATAATTAAAAATTTAAGATCAAAGAAGTAATTCTTTGATGTAGAGTAAATTAATTTAAATTAACGAAAAGATTTCTTTGACCCTATAGAAATATTTCTTTGATTCAAAAAAACTTTTTTCTGTGTTAAAAGAATGATTAAAATTAATATTAGAGTTTTGAATTCATTTTGTATTTTCTTCTTAAAATTAGAATATTTTTCTATTTATTCCCTCTATTACAGGTTGTGACTGAATATTGGTATTTATTTTAATGTTAAAATTTGATAATTAAATCTCTTAAGTAAATGGATAAAAATCCTCTAATATTGAGAGTATAGTGACAATAAGATTACCACATGTAATGGGAAATATTTTATCAAAATGAGAAAAAAAATTCTCTAACATTAAAAATATCAATTCATTTAGAGAAATTATAAAATCTAAAAAAAAATCCTCTAATATTGAGATTATTTTGTTTTTTCAGTGCATAATAAAATAAGATAATAAGTTACACACTTAAACCTTTGTCAGGTGTGTCTAGATAAGTTTTTGTTATACATTAAAAGGAAAATAAAAAAAAATAAAAAAAAAACCCAAAGGGGGAGAGAGGGAACAAGGGACCGTGCCATGCCGGTTGAATCAGCTGTGAGCGGCATGGAGCCGTTCACAGTCGCGTCTGTGACCCGTTGTCAGTTGCCCGTGCCTTGTGCGACGGTCAGGACCGCACACATTATTCCGCAACGTCTCTATTACGCACACGTTTCAATATTTCAAGTGATCTGCATAAATTAACGCCTTGACAATATTTTAATTATTCTCTAGTCCATTGTTATATTTTTCCTTTTCAATTTTCATTTACCTCGCACAATTTAAAAAAAAAAAAAAATTTTAACCCTCAAAATAAAAAATTTCTGTGAAAAGAAAAAGAGGGTGGAAAAAATAAAAAAAAAAAAAATCGACAGACACAATTCTGGCGATTTTTTTTCCCCTCGAGATAACAATATTTTCAACTCATGGACCATCGATGGACGACCAAGGTGAAGGTGAAGCTTGATGGGGATTTGTCCTGAAGAAATTTTTCAGGAATCAAGAAGGACTTTTTTTTTATTAAATCAATTTTTTATTGTGGCGAGGCATTTAAAAGGATTTTCAAGATGATTTAGGATTAGGACGACGGAGAGTGAGAGAGAGAGAGAGAGAGAGATGGCGAACGGAATATCCTTCGGACGTACCGCTAGCAGCAGTGTGCTTATCCTATTGGTGAGTCGCATTGACTTTTCTTTTCGAGGCCACTGCTTGGCATATCGATGAAAACGCGGACTTGCAACGCGCTCAACGTCAATTGCCTATCAAGAAACGATCGATGGTTCATTAAATTCCCCCGGGGCGCAAGAAGCGTTTTCGATTTAGTCTCAAGCACGTTTACTTTGTTGCATTTTATAATTTTTTTTTTTTTTATCTCTCTCGTCACATTGAGTTTCTTTATGCAACGACAAATCACTTTCACGTAATGTCTATTATGCACGTTCACTGACTCTTTTTTCAATTTTATTACTATCATACAGGGGGTTGTATTTTTAGTTTCATTTTTTTATTTCAATTAAAAATATTTAAATTAAATTCAAAAAAAAGTTTTTTTCCCTCTAGAGGAAAAATTAATAAATTTACAAGGAAAAAAAATTTAATTTTAAATAAAAATTATTTGGTACAAATAAATATGTTTTGAATATATTATTTGGTAAAAATAAATATTCGTTTGTCCAAATAAATAATTAACAATAGTCGGAAGTGGAAATTTTTACATGTAATTTTTTGGTTCTTAAAATAAAATTGAGATTAATATAAAATAAATTTATATATTCATAGGATAAAAATAATAGAAAAAACACTTGTAATTGTTTAGAATAAAATTGCTTAACAATTATCCATTTTTATCTCCTTGAAAGGTGACATTCCATTAAAATATAATGTGGACTTTGATAACAGGTGACCATATTCATTATTGTAAATCTAAATCGATTTTTATTGGAAGTAAATTTTTTTATTAAAAAAAAAAAATCGCTACAAATATGCTATAGAATTTATATTTTTTTTATTTTATAAATTAAAATTTAAAACAAAATTTTTTTGGAAAAAATTTGTTTAAAAAAAAAATCTTACATGCGGATACTTTCAATGTTTATAATAAAAAAAAAATCATTTCATATTTTTTAACCTTGTCATTATTTTTTGACCAAGGTCATAAGATACTAATATATTTAATGAAATACACAAAAGAGATTTTGAAATTGGCATATTAATTAAAGAATCCATAAAATAAACTGGATTATATTTAATAATTATAATATATATATGTGTGTGTGTAAATAAATATTCGTATGGTAACCATCGCATTCCAAAGATTTCAACGAAAAATATATCTGTATTATAAGGTCATACGTCATTATATGTGAATTTACGTAATCAGATTAGAAGCTTCGCAAGAGTGATTGATTATTTTGGGGCGTTACTGTTTATATGAGAAATTTTACAATGCATTTGTAAGCCGGTGTAAAGTAAAACTATATAGTTGTTATATAGATATTTCGTAACATTTTGAACTCGATATCGCGAACGATATAAAGAAACTATTACTCATTCAACTTCCGATATTGCTTTATAAAAATTCCATACGTGAAACGGATGCGTTAAAAAATTCACATAGTGAAATATTTCCCTTTTGTAATAATATTGCGGAATATAATTAAAATATTAATTCTATACATGGAAATACTTTTTTTGTAATTATTTAATAAAATATACAATAAAAAATTTAGATAAAAATATTATCAAAAATAATGCCTAGATATAAATTTTATAATAGCAATTTTTTAATGTAGCTGAAATGTGTGTATTCGCATTCTTGGTGGGAATTTTTTCACTGTCTGACCACACGCAAGCTTTTTCTACTTGCTGAAATACATGTAAACTGATCTTCTACCGGCAGCATGTATTTTAATTCCTCAAAATTCATTCTAATAAATAAATATATTACAATCCTTTTTTTTAATTACGCAATATTTTCTTTTATTTACAATATATATTATTTTCTAAAATTTCTTTAGGGATGGAAAAAGTGAAAATAGAAAAATATATTACGATTTGGTTTTCTGTTCAATTTCTGATTCTTTTTGATAATTCCCCTGAAACAGAAAAAATAAAAAAATATGGTTAATTTGCAATGAAATAAAAAAGATAATATTGCTTCATTTTAAAATCGAAAAATTCATTCACATAATATGATAGTTATTAAATTCGAAATTTTTTATGGCCAATGCTGTAATATGAAATAATGATATTTGTTTTTAGGGCATTTATATATATATTTTTTTCACTTATCAACCTATTATTGTAATTGTCCAATTAGTTGAAATTTATTTTCTATATATGTGCCACATAATAAATTCAAGAATTATTAATATTAATTGAACAAGCACCAAAATTCACAGGCAAATTGTATATATATATATAAATAAATAAATAGACGATAATTTCGTAATATGTCGAACAACTTGTACTTTGTAAAAGTAGCTCTGATATATGAATAAGCATTTAAGGTTGCAATTTGTTAAAGCCAATATACACCCACAGCTATAAATGGATCATAGCAATAGAGTATTATAAATAAGGTTAATAGCACATGTACATACACACTAATACATATATATAATTCATTTATAATATTACCCGGGTTATATTTTCACCAATTTATTAATATTTCAATTCAACAGTTTTTACATATATATTTTTCGCAAAAATGTATACGTATAATTATCCAATTTATCCGTTTTAATAATCGCTTCATCCTCATAAATCTATTGCATATGCATTACATGTGTATATTTATATACAATATATGCTTGCATACCTTTTGTTCCATTCTTTTCGATGCAGTGCCAAATGCGCGTACCTGCGCGTGTCTCTAGAGTCATATCAAGGATACCGCGTTATCTGGTCGGCGATTGCAATACTTACTACTAGATTCACTTTATAAGGATATTTATTCTTGTGCACTTAAACAATTGCACTTTTCGTATACAAATACATACGTCCCACAACTTCAATTTATATATATGTATATTTGTCTTCTATGTGGACAAAGAGGTTAGGCTTTATTCAGATGTCTCTTTTAATTTTCTTTGTGCTAACGAAGTTTATTTATTGTGCACGCACCAATCTTGTGTGAAAAATGTATAACACATGTTGCATGTATAAGCAATATACTTATTGATGTGGAAATTCACGATTCTTTTTTAATATTTCAAAAAATTTGTGACGCACAGTGAAGAAAGGGACATAAGAAACAAAAAAAAATTTAGGTTACGCTTATCATTGTTTTACAATGAGTTATCCTTTATTTTAGTTATGTAAAATCAAAATCAGTTTTTTGGAATATTTTTGTAATGAAGACCATTTTTAGTTATATGTAAATGACACTGAAGAAAGGGGCATAAAACAAAAAAAAATTATAGGTTAGTTTTATGTTGAATACTTCCTTATTTTTAATTATATAAAGAGTTTTTTTTAATTTATTACTGACTATTACTCAATATATATATTTTTTTTTCTTCAATATATATATACAAAGATGATTCTCTCGAATCATCAGCTATAATCAACGGACATCCTGTATGTAACCAATGAGAAACTTCCTCTTTGGAGACATAACACCCTAACTGTCGGTTACGTATATATCGTTCGCAGTATACATTTGACATAATTCAATCTCTTGATCTGAAGCTTATCCTTGCACCAACACTTTCCACTTTAATTTATTTCAACATCAATAAACTTAATTCACAATCATCTAAATCTGTTCAACGTTCATTGCACTGCTCTTCATATTTTTCTTCTATTTTTTTTTAATTCTTATCAAAAGATTTCTTTAAAAAGACAATTTTTTTATCACTTTTCTTTTCTTTTTTTGCATTTTTAATGTGACGCGCACTGAAGAAAGATGAACCCAAGAAGTTAAATCTTAAAAATTTCAAAACATAATCTCAAATTTTTTGCTTCTTAGGAACTGTATTATTATTATGATTATATTTTAATTTTTATTTATTTTATGGAATTTTTTGTTAATTGAAAGAATTTTTTTTTATTGGACAAAATGAATAAATTATTAAGGTATAATACAAAAGAAGAAGAACATTGCGATCGCATTGATTCTGCAAATTCTTGATATTGTAAAAATGTTACAAGAAAGAAAGAAAGAAGAAAAAAAAAAAAAGTGAATTTTTTTCCCCCCCATCAAAGAAACAATAAAATCACTGTGCATGTTGACGATTAGATGGAGTTCAATAAAAATAACTTAAAATCGAAATCAATGTTAAGAATGTGAATTCCGGAGCTAGAAATGCGTCAGGCATTCCTTTGTGTATCTCAGGTAGTTATAAATTTTCTGTTGGCGTCATCCGGTTTATTCGTATAGTATGAGTCGTTTCTGTTTTCACGCAAAACCAGATTTTTTAACGAAGTAAACAAAAATATGCGTTTAATCGCAGAGATTGGTACATTTTAATATATAAATATATATATGTATTCCTTTTCCTGGAGTTCTAAAACGACAAGTTAATGAACCCCCGAAAAAAATTTCAAAACTTTTAATAATATACCTGTATAATTATATTTAAACAGTCACATTGACGATAAGCTTCATGAATAAATGTAAAATAATAATAATATGTACAAAAGCACCGGTTGAAATTCCGTTTAGTGAACCTTAAGATAAAAGTCCTAAAGCTGCTTAAGTAAAATATTAAATTTTTTGTTTTTAGGGTTCAATAATCGGGTTTTATTTTTATATTTTTTTTATACGTAATTTCGAAGTTATTAGTTGAATTTTACATATGTGTATTTATAGTTTCTTGTATTTAATAAAAGTCATCAGTTGTCTTTTTGTTACGAGATAATTATGATTAATTTCCGAAAGTTGTCAGTTGTCTTTTTATACAAAGTTATCTTTTAGCTTCAAGATATGTAATTAATTTCAGGAGGGTTATCAGTTGTCATTATGCTACAAGTTATAAGTATATAAATAAATTGAGGAAAGTCATTAAATGTCTTTTTCACACAAAGTTGTCAGTTGTCTTTTTGTTTCAAGTTATATATGATTAATTTTAGGAGAGTTGTCTCCTTTACCCGAAGGAATAATGGCTGTATTTTGTTAAACAGTATCACTCAAAGAATTTTCTTGAAAGAAAGCTTTTTTTCGATCATAA